GGCCGGCGGACTATGAAAGCAGCCATTCTTTCAACGTGTTCAAACGTAGCAGCTTGAATTTTTGAATCTTTTGATCCACCGCCATCTTTATCAGAAAGTACGGGCACCAAAAAGTTGTGGTACCATGACGCAATAGTTTAAATAGCGGTCGTTGACAGCAGATTGAAATGTAGGCGGATCAAAGTCTTGCCCTACATCACTGTTTTGTATTTCTCTACGATCTCCCTTCGAGAGATTGAACGGGCTCAACCAGTTTGAAATACGAATCATCAGTAAATGCTGTCAGTGAGGAACACAATCAGTTGTTTGGTGGTTCACGTGAACCGAGTTTGTAGAGTTTCAGCAGGATATGCTGGGACTTCTCAGGTACGGAGGTTGTGAGGGCTTCTTCTGCATACGGAAGAGGTGACTCTACCGATTCGATTTCTTCGAGGGTATGATTTGAAGCTGTGAGGGTAGCTCCCTGTTTCGCGAAGGTGGTGAAGCCGACATCCAACATGGCACTAGCAGTTCTTGCAAAATGAATTGCCTGGGAAACCCACAAAACTCTTAACTCTGCGTGCGGGTTAGAACAGTGATCGCACGAACGTTAGCCTAACTACATCGCTCTCGACCAGCTTTCTCCATCGGTGAAGAGTTTGGAAGACAAAATAAACCTACCAACTCTTACGTCCCCATCATTATTTGTATCTCTCTGCATAAAAGGAGTCAGTGAGGAAGGGAGGGGTGCGCTTCGTTGCGCGTGTCCGTCGAAACTGGGTGACGCCGCAGCCGTCGCATGCGGCGGGTCAGCCCGCGATACTTGACAGACGTCGCAGCTGTAAGCGGGGCATACNAAGATAACATAGACTGATGCAAATCGTTCGCTCCACTCACACTTGGTGGTACTGTAATGTCATCTCGAGACCACGGTGGAGTGCGCCCCGCGCGAAATGGGCGGGGTGACCTATTTTCGACGGACACGCGCAACGGACGTTCGCCCTTCCCTCTATAGCCCTATGAATAGAGCTCTGTGACCGAGTGGAGCAGGTATGCTGGTTTTGAATCTTTCAAGGTGTGCGTGGTGCTTCCAAGAGAGTCATCCCAGTCCGCGGCGATGTGATGTCCAACTGTTAATTTTTAGAAGATTATGACTAATTTTGGATTCACCATTGAGTGTTTTGGTATCGAAGTGGTCCTGAGTTTGTGTTGTTCCAAATTGTCACTGTTAGTTTGCGCAAAATCAGCCGCGCAGGCAGTTCCCACAAAACTTTGGCCCTTTCCGGATTAGAACCGTTGTCGCTAGTGCGTGAACTTACCTACATACTCTCCACACCACTTTTTCAGAGAATCACGATAAACCTAGCAAATTGTACGCTTCGAATGGGCTCCAACTACCTCATCCTTTTGTTTCGGCTATCACTTTGCGATCACCTATTATCACCTATCACCGTATTTGTTCTAAAAAATGTCCCCGCTTCATTTCTGAAACGCTCTTCCGTTTCAGCACTGAGACACACTCACTCCCAAGCGAAACTGCCTTGGAACGTAGACACGCGAAATAAGTCAATATTCTTGTAGTTGAGACCAGTACCGTACCTGTTACTGTTCCACGCGCGCGAAGTGGGCGGGGTGACCCAGTTGCGACGGGCGCGAAGAATGAACGTCTCCCGTCAAACGCGTCGCGGATGCACGCCCTTGGCACTGCACCCTTCTCTTCATGAGAAATTATTGCGCCACGCACATTTCCTCAAGGGTAACAACTGCGTGGTCTTGTTATCTTTGGAAGTCATTACAAATGAATATTAAGAGCAGATGCTTGTGTATATGGAACTTTCTGTAGGTAAATTATGTAGCCACCACAACGATTATATATAGAACTTTAATACTAAGATATATCACTCAAAAAATGAAAAGAACAGCTCTGATATTTTCAAAAAAAAAACAATACGAGACTCATAATATGTCGATGACAGCGTAGCGCTAACACAAATACACTAGAAAATAATGAGTTGAATAGAAATAACATTACTACAATCATCACAAAACATAATGGATGAACAATAAAAATGAATGGTCAACAAAAATCAAATGTCATTATGAATCAGAGAAGAATAGCGCGGAGTGATGAGAAGACGAGAATATGAAGAAGAGAAGGAAAGTGGCGACGGTGAACGAAGGAACATGCGAGGAGAGGAAGAGGAAAATGGATGTATATTCAAAATTTATACTAAAATATCAATATGTATCAAGTTACAAAATATAGAATAAAAATATCTGTAACTTCTTCTGAGCATTGGACAGTATTCGGCAGAATTCATCATAGTCAGCAAGATTTATCACGTAAGTAGAAGTGATTTGAGCCGTTTCTCTCGTTTAACTAACGGGGATTTTACTCAGACAGTAACGAGTAACAGTCAGGGGTACTCTATTCTCGTCCCGTCCAGAATAGGGATGAGCTACACATACACTATAATCAGAGGTACCTGTGTTACTCAATATTACTACTACATATCATCTCAGTATTCTCTATGTACTGTTATCAGCTATCACGGGTGATTGTACTAGTAAAGAAGACCTTCAGTGATATTTAGCCTTATGCCGTGGTGGAGGAGGTGCATTAAACGGCATCATAGCACCTGGAGGTGGTGGTGGACCAATCGGGCCCATTGGACCCATGGGCATAGGTGGTCCGTAACGTTGTCCCATTGGTGGTGGGAACAATGGCGGTGGTCCTACCCAACCAGGAGGTACGAATGGAGTGGCAGGTGTTGGTGATGGCGCTTCTCCTCGAAGGAACCGTGAAAGCTCCTGCTCGGTATCGACGATCATCACCAAGAACGGGCTGCCAGGCACATGTTCTCCGTGCCATTTCACTTCTACCTAAAATGCGGTCCCATAAGGAAGAATATCAAAAATTTGCCAGGACGTCTTGCTCACCTGATAATCACCGGGTTCCTTCGGCTCGTACTTACAATGGATTGTTCGTTCATTCTTCTTTTCTCTCTGAAATTTCAAAATTTAAAGAGAAAAGGGAGAAAGAAGGCCCTTGATTTCAAAATTTTTGGAATAATTAGGAAAAAAGGGGGAGAAAATGAATGAAGAAGAAGAAGCTCACCTGCATTTCCACGTTGAATGCACCTTTTGGACCTCGGACTCGTACCGTCAATTGTCCAGCTCCTGCACCTCTCGTCTCGACCACAAAGTTCGACTTGAACCTTCAAGCACACCAGGAGGAATTTTTGCATGATTTTCAACCCAATTACACAATTATTTACTGCAAGCGATGCGAATTTCCCGCATCGAACGCGCGGCAAATTTTGCCGCGCGCGACGGACTTTAAACTACTACTATTACTGAGAAATGGAACTTCACATGAAGGACTCGCAATAACACTAGAATTTCTTGCTCCCTAAGCCCATTATTCCGAACGAAGAGCTTTCCAATCAATACGTATACAAAAAAACGTGAATTGGCTTGTTGACCACATTGGGCTGATTTTTATGTCCGTTGAAGAACTCTCCTGACGGTTCGGAGTAAGCAGTAAGTGAAAGGAATAAAGGGCTTGATACTGAACGAACGGACGTTTCAGGAGTACGCCATGAATGAGACCTCTCAGTTAAGTTTCAACCGTACTAAGTAAACTCACAAGCTGAGAATACCATGCTCGATTCCAGGTCCATACACTCGAACCTTTGATGGATCGGGAGGCATAGACACATGGATCAAAAATGGGCTACCTCGAACATGTTGATCATTGTACTTGATAACCAAAGTATGTTTACCGACCTGTAACACAAGA